AAATTCAATTTCACCCCTATATATTAAATATAATTGAATATTTTCAAAAGCATTTTTGGAAAGTTTCTCTTTAACAAGAATGTTTCTAGACATTTTTCTTTGATGATGGAATTTTTAGGAATTTTTTAAATTATTTATAAATTTCAATTTTGATTTATCATACTTATTTATAAACTATATTTTAATGTTTTTAAAAGAAATTATCAATATCTAAAAATAATCTCGTATCACAATATAAACTATTTAGATTTAAATATATTTTTAGTCTCTATAAAATGAGTGAATTTTAATTTTTGGTTCTTAACAAAAATTCTTTATCTTTCATCTCTTAAAACATAAATATTATTTTTTGTTCTTGCAAAATGTTTTTGACCCCTTATAAAATGAGTAAATTTTGGTGGTTCCTATAAATTTTTATTTTGAATTTTTATCTCTCAAAAATAAAAAATTATTATTATTTAGTCGTTAAGAATGATTTTAAGCTATAAAATTATAAATAATATTTATTTTAATGACATAAATTTTTTTAAAAGATGTCACATACTAACATAATATTATTAACAATTGTGAATAACACATGAGATGATCATTTAACCTTTTGATAAACAAATAAGTAGTTAAAAATGGTTACACAATAATTAAAACTAAAAACAATGGTTTAAATTTTAGAGGGATGAAAATAAAATAAAAATATTTTATAGAGAACAAAATCAAAACTAACTCATTTTATAAGAGAAAAACATATTTAAGTCAATTATTTATCATAAATTTAAAAATATAATTAATATATTTAAAAATATTATTTATATATTTTTAAAAATAACTTATATATAATTTTTATTTGTATATATAATTTATTATAAATTTTAATTATATATATATTAAACATTTCGCATCTACATATGTTATATAAAATACTAGTTATTATAATATTAATCGATTTTAATCAAAATTTGAATTTTATTTAGTTGTTTGCTTTAAGTGGAATTCAATTTTTATATACTATTATTTAGCTATTCAATTTGCAACAATTCTATATGTATTACATCAATTTAGATTTGAATTTGGTTATTTTAAAATATCTATATTAACTATTTTACTAAATAATAATGTAAAATAAAAGCTTATTGTGAAAGATTTTTTTATTATTTTGTGAAATGAGAACATTTTTCACTAATTTGCATCTTATTACAGAGGGTCATTCTCATTCGCATATTCATTGACATGCTTCTCTTCTCAACATAATTCATGCTTTAAAGAATCAAGATTGAGAGGTTATTGGCTATCAAAACAAGCTTCATCCATCGACAGTCCTCTCTAGCTTTCTAGCTATCCTTGTCCTCATGGGAATATAACTAAATATTTTTAGGAAAATAAATTAATTTTAATAAAAATATTTATCTATATTTTAAATATTTAGATTTAATTTTTTTTTTATTTTAGAACTTATTTTTTATTTTTAAAATAAGATAATATTAATATTTAATTTTGTATCAATATTTTCTATATAAATAGAGATCTCATAAATAAAATTGAATTATGCTCTTCTGATATTATATATATATATATATATATAATACAAATATAAAATAGTCCACCATTGGTATCTAGAGTTAAGTTTATAACCTATGAAGATGGAAATAGGAACAAACTTTTCATCACAAATTTTTTCATCTATCATTGATAAAGAAAGCTATGATTTTTTGGATGGTGAGAATGGAAGCATACTTATAGGCTTTAGATCTTTGGAAAGTTGTAAAAGAAGATTATGATATTTTTATGTTGTCAAACAATCCTACCGTAATCTAAATGAAAATTCACAAATTAAGAAAGAAAAATCAAGAAGTTTGTTTTACAAAATATTTTCACTAGAATTATGACTCTCAAATTGACAAAAGCAATTTGGGATTACCTAAAGGAAGAATATGTTGAAGATAAAATGATTCGAAGCATACAAGTATTGAATTTAATGAGAGAATTTGAGTTACAAAGAATGAAGGAGACTAAGACAATTAAACAATACTCAGACAAATTGTTTGGCATTACTAATAAGATAGGATTATTAGGAACACAATTTCTTGATTCTATAATTGTTGAAAAAATTCTAGTAACTATACTTGAAAGATATGAAGTTTCAATAGCGATCTTGGAGAACACAAAAGATTTGAGTAAGATCATTTTGATCAAGGTATTACATTTATTGCAAGCATTAGAACACAGAAGACTTATGAGACAAGAAAGAACTATGGAGGGTGTATATTTAGCCAAATGGAAGAACAACAATGGTGACAAAAACAAAAAGAAGAATTGTTCCAAGAGAACAATCAAAATAATAGCACTCAAAATTTTCCACCATGTCCTTATTGCAAAAAAAATATTCATCCACAATAGAGATGTTGGTGGAGACCTAACGTAAAATGTTACAAATGCGGACAATTAGGACACTTAAAATATGTATATGCAAATCTCACGAGCAACAAGAAGAAGTCAACATTGCTGAAAATCAACAAGAAGACGAAGAAGAACAACTACTCTCAATGTCATTTTTTGTGACAAAAAAACCTTCAAAAGCTTGGATTATTGGTAGTGGTTGTACAAACCATATGACTTATGAAAGAGAATTTGTCAAAGAACTCAACAAAATCCATATCTCTAAAGTTCAAATGGAGAATGAAGCATATCTTACAATAAAAGACAAAGGAACAATTATTATTTAAAGTCATTTAAGTTTGAAATTAATATATAATATTTTATATGTTCTTGATATTAATCAAAATTTGTTGAGTATTTCTTAAGTTCAAAATTTGTTAAGTGTTGCTCAGTTGTTAGAAAAAGGCTATAAAATATTATTTGAAGATAAAAATTGTGTGATTAATGATATAAACAACAAGGAAGTGTTCAATGTTTATATGAAAGACAAGAGTTTTGCTTAAATTTGGGGAAGGAAGAGTCAATTATAAATGAAGATACAAATGAAGAGTATAAAGATATGTCTTTAAAAAGAAGTTTGATGATGAAAAGGAGAATAAAAACGACGAAAAACCATCTTCAAAGGAGAAGTTCGAGACAAATGTTAAGGTGTTCCCACTCAAAAAAGATTACAACAAAAATAAAATAAAATAAAATAAAAAAATCAATCAAAAAGAGAAAATACAGATTTTAAAGTTTAAATTTAAATTAGGTGATAAAGATTTAGACTAGAAGGAGTGTTGGAAATAATATGCTTAAATATCTTTAAAAAAATAAATTAGTTTTGATAAGAATCTTTTATTTATGTTTCAAATTTTTAGATTTAATTTATTTTAATTATTTTAAAATTTATTTTCTTATTTTTAAAATAAATAATATAAATATTTAATTTTATATCAATATTTTTCTCCACAATAGAGACCTCATAAATAAAATTAGATTATACTTATTTAAAAAAAAATCTTTACAAAATAGAAATATAAAAATAATACATATGTCCAACATGCAACAGCTTAAGCTTTTGTTATTAGTTGACACAACGTTTGTGTCCTTTAGGCATGGCAACGGGGCGGGTTTTACGTTCCTCGCTCCCGCTCCCACAAATTTAAACTGCTCCCCCCGTTCTTGATACCTGCCAGGGATAAAATTTGGGTCCCTATCCTCGTCCCCGGCGGGGTTCGGGTTTCCCTGCCCCGCCCCCGTCCCCGCTCTTATTTTTTTTCTTCTTTTTTTTCTTTTAAATAAATATGAACAATTTAAAAAAAATAAAAAAAAGTAAAATAATATAAATTTTTACATATAAATATTTATAATTTTGGTTTATATATGTAAATAAATAATTTTTTAATTATATTATTAAGTGAGACGGGGCGGGGGTGGGTATGGGGACGGGGGCGGGATAGGTATTAACATCTCTGCCCACGCCCCTGCCCCCGATTTTATCAATCGAGAAAAATTCGAACCCGATAAACACGAATTTTCCTCATCCAAATTGAGGCAGGTTCGGACAGGTACTTACGGAGACGGGTTAAATTGCCATGTCTAGTGTCCTTTGTTAGATTCCTCATGTTTTTTACTTTTCCGACTGGTAAAAAACTGAGAACATTAATTATAACTATGATATTAAAATTGAGAAGCCGAATAACCACTATCGATCTAGTAGTTGAAGATTTGTATAGGCGTAAGACAGAGTTCTTCTAGATTCGAATATTTACTATCATTGTAAAATATTGTTATGAATAAAAAAAATGACAACCCAAATTGTGTATTTAATAATAAATCCCACATTATATTTGAAAATTCTTATGTGATATTTAATTAAAAAAACTAGTAGAATTTATTATTAAATATACGATCTAAATAATCGATTTTAATTTAATGGTTACAATTATATATCATTCTCACAATAACTAAAGCACTCACCGCCAAATTCATCTCATGAAATGAAAACTAATAAAATGTTTAGAAATATTTTAATATTCATTTTACGTATTAAATTTTCCCTTCATTTTAATTAAAATTGTATTTTCAATGTTTCTTTTTATTCTTAATATAAAAAAAAAAACAATATTGTGCATTCAATTAATTTTACTTTTATATATATATATATATATATATATATATACATGAAGATGGGTCAATAGCAGATATGAAGAATGGCATTGTAAGAATGCAGTTTGGGCCATCAGAATAGCTGCTTCTCTCAGTAGTTAGGGCCGAATAATTGGTCCAAAAATTGTAAGCTGTTGATCAAAAAAATAAATTATTCTTCAGCTAACGCAGAAAAAGACAAAGACAGAGAAATGCTAAAATAAACAACAGATAGAGTTTATTGGTTCATATTTAATAATCTTAAAGTTTAAGAAACTTATATTATATGGTATTTCGTTCATTATTTAATAATACTGTAGTATACACATAGTGGTTGTAACTTGTGAGGACCGAGGTTTCTGCAAAATCAGTGTCTCTCATATATTAAATCAAAAGCCACTCCTGCTCTAGTCAATGCAATGTGATCACCCTCTATAAACTTGTAATACCTGTTCCATCAATACCATAATTTGGTCAGTGAGTAAATTATGTTAAACTCATAAGTTTCTTTTTGATATGTTAAGAGTAAGTGGCTAAAGTCAAGTTCTAAACCAAGATAGTAATATTGGTATCCAGTACCAGATGCCTGGTTGTAAGGGTTGGCATTCTGAATCCTTCTCAACCAAGCAGCTAGGGTGTTCAATTGGGAAGCGAGGATGAGTCATGGATATTGTGTTTAGTGTTCCATCATTTTCTTGCCAATCTTCATTCCTGCACACCCAATTATGTTCCTTTTAATAATTTTAAAAAAATCTATAAAAAGGGGAAAGTGGTCACTCAGCAAACTCAAGCAATTCTATCTAATAATGCTTCCTATTAAACTCAATCATATCACATCATCATTCATATATTACATTAATAATTCATGTCACAATTATGTGTCACATCAATAATCAACTAATAGAGACAAATAATCAAATAATAAGGTGATAAAATCTAAAAAAATTAAAAAAAATTAGTAACAAAATTCACAAATATGTAATGCATATGAAAACCTACCGGTAGGCTTTATAGGGGGGAGAAACATGTGGAGGATGGAGCCACCGGCCCATTTGCCAAACTCTGAAGAAAAGCAATGGGGGAATTCCAAGAATCCATGAATGAACTGTGACACCCATAAACTTCCAACTACGCTTGGTAGCATAGCTGAAGTAGTATGTGTTTGGAAATGTGTGTAGATGGTTGTTGAGTCTTATTGAACCTTGAATTGTAAGATCTGGGAGGATCCAATCCCCTGAAGCAAATGGGCCTGAATTGCCCAGGAGGCATTGGACAATACCCCATAAGCCCATCTTTTTCCATGACATGTTAAAGTGATCCAAACCAAAATTGTAGTACTTCTTCAGCCGGGAAATGTCAAACCAATAGTAAATTATCACGCCAATGCGGCAAAGTTGTAACAGGCAAAAAGGTTTCATTCTTCCCCCATCCTCTGGCCTGAAACAAGCTCAATTTCTAGTGTTGGTAACTAACAAAGTTTTGAAAAAAATAATCCATGATAAAGTATGGAAGAAAATTAAGATGAAATTATTTATGTTCTTTTACGGTTTTCTCAAATTGAAATTGGAGTCTCGTTATCTTTAATAGTGAGTATGTTTAAATAAACTTGTTAAAAATAAACAAATAAAATATAAATGAGTTTCTATGTAACTAAAAGTATATTATACATAAAGTTAAAAATGAGATTTTAGAAAAGTTAATAAGAGAGAGTTTATACAATTTAGCACATGCTTAAGTTAATTTTAACTTACGAAAAAAACTCGTTTCATTTTTTCTCATATTTTATTCTCTTTAAAATATTTTTGGAGAAATCTATCAAACAGACCCAATATTTTTTTAAAATGTTCCAAATAAATCATGTTTTCCTTTTAAAAGTAATTTTTTTCTAATTTTTTCATTCATAAATTATTCAACCGACACATTTAAAAGTAATGCATTTATTAAGAGAATAATATTATTTTAATAAGATTGTATCAAAAAGTAATATGTATTATTATTCTTAATATGTGTATAAAAACCTTAAACTTACTCATTATGTAACAAAAAGAGTATTAAATTAGTACTTGAGATTTGGAATTGTAAAATCATTGGGATCAACCTAAAATGAGAGTAAAATAAATATATAAAGATTTAAGTTTAATTTTTAGTGCAATTGTAATAAGATTTTCCATTGATAAAAAATGTAAAATTTAGAATAAATTACACTCCATGAGATTGTAGACAATCATTTATTTTCTAAATATTTCCATCATATAATGTATTTTAAATAATTAAAAAAATATATTAATATGATATTTAAAGTATAAGGATAAAGAAAACTATGTAGAATCTGATTAGTCAAAGTAATTTAGTATAAAGTTAAAGCATAAAAAGAAAAAAAGAAAAAGAAGTGACCGCATGCCATCTATGTAGGCTCTTGTAGTCCCATTGAGTGCTCCTGATACAGAAGTTAAGCATAAAACCCAGTTCTCTGAAGTGTTTTCATACCCTTTGAATGCCTGGGGCAGTAATATTAATGTCAAATTAATCATCTTACATTTACTTAAAAGGGTAAAAATATGATCACTTTATTACCTTATCAGCAAGCATTTGTTGCAAGACACGAACAACCTGTGCTCCAACTAAGTGTCCAACAAAGTGAACTGGGTGATCCTCGTCCCACTCAGGGTAGTATCCTGCATCCCAATTTTAAGTTTTAAACAAAACAATACGAAAATAATAATATTAATGATTGAACCTAGCTAGCTAGTTTTTGTAATACGAAAATCTTTTCAAATATTTTAAGAAAAATGGATATGAAATATTTATGGGTGAAAGATGAGAGGCGATGGAACCTCGTTCATAGATTCTTCCAAACTGAATGTGTCCACAAGCCTTGCTGTGCTCTTCACCGTAATCCACTTGACCACCTTTTAAATAATAGAACAGTTCGCGAGCTCTGTCACAAAATTCTTTTTCAGAATATTCGCAAAACATGCATGCATGGGACATGCACACAACCAATTAACAGGGTAAATGAAGATAAATATATATATATATATATATATATATATATATATATATATCTAA